TTCCCTAGGCTGTCTATTCTGTAAAGCAGCTATGCACCAACCACTGTTAAATCTATACAGCACAATTCAAAGCTTATTAAGTGAGCAGAGTCACTTCACTGCCTTTTCTGAAACTCGGCCAGAGCCGAATACTTGCAATTCCCACTGAAGCTGATCGAATTACAAGAGTTGAAACCCTGCTTGATCTTCTCTGTTTTCTCTGTGAATTATCTTAATTTTTGTCATACTTGTTAAAGCAAAGTATTCTTCATTTTATTTCTCTCTCAAACTTCTCCTTTAAACAACACAGACAAATTGTGTTGGCATGAATGAAGTATGAATAAAATCCAGTGTGAATAAGAACAGAAATTAAAAATGTGAGCAAAAATGAGGAGAGAACCCTTCTATCTCTATGTTCTGAAGTCAGTAACTGTCTTTGGAAGGACAAAATAACTCTGCAAAGTTTAATCCTGCCTTGTAAGTAGTTCCAGCCATGCAAAACATGTTGGGATGCAGTATACATCAAGTGCAGGCCACGTAAATGACTGTCTCTCAGTTCCAGAGGTGAAGGATGAATGCCTGCCTTGCAGCTGTCCTGCTCTGGGAATGGCCATGCAAACGGCAGGGATGCACCGGCACCTGTGCAAACAGACGTAGGTAGGTAGAAGACCTCTTATGATCTACCATGAAGAGAAGAGGATCTTCTGCTGTACGAGTGCTCTTCTGTGTGATTTTAATGGCAGCAGATAGGGTAAGACTAAATGGAAGAAAAGCTGGGGCTCAGAATTACTCCAATAAATGTCTAAGCTAAAACACAATTGTAAAGAGGAATGATAAGCATTATTGAATTTGTGGGTTTAATTCTCTTGCAGTTGATTACCTGGAGATTTGCCGAATGGCTATCTCAACCGTGCCATTTCAAATGAGAACTGAACCAATCTCTCCCTCTCCAAAAGATATTTACATATTGACGAAATACTTCATCTAAATCTTTCTAATTAACCAATTAATTCAAGATTTCTATTCCTCATTACTACCAAGTAATAAAAGATGAACGGAACATTTCAAGGGGTAGAGAAGATTCATTTATTTTCCTTCCTAACACCCTCTTTGATCTCATTTCTCAGGCTGAAGAATGACAGCCTAACCAAAGACGTTTGCTTAGTGTTTTATACTCATTGCTCATATTTTTTTAAGGTGATTAAAGATTATGCACACCAATACGAATAAAGCCCACAGCACATTCATTATATCACTTGTTTTAGCAAGCTGATTTCTAGCCAAATTAGATTCTGGTATCTTTGTCACCAGTTACTTTAAACTCAGGAAATGAATATCTTATTTATGAAAAGACGAAGCAGTTACAAGAACAGCTGTAATATCATAAACATAGTATACCCCGTGATATTAAGCCATAAAATTAATCTATGCTGGCACGTGTCCAATGTGGAGAGACAACCTCATTG